AATTGGGGAACTTCCTTTCCGAATAGCGTGCCACGATTTTCAATTCCTATCCCTTACCTAGATAGAATGCTTCGTTCACGGCCAATGCCTGGTATTCTTTGATAGGAAGTGGCAATTTTGAAATTGCTGCTCACTGGGCGGTTATAATTCGAGTGTTATCCCGTGGGAACTGTTTTCGCCTAGCCTGGTACTGTACGGTCCTTTGTCCTACCGACACTGTAGTTATTAGCTTTTTGGGCAGATGTGATGGTTTTATCTACGGCGATTTTAAAGACAGGGTGTGCAAGAATTCGTTGTTATTTTGGAGTGGTAAAGAATCTACTTAAACAAAATTTGACTTGAGTGGAACGTGCGGCAGTTTTTCTGTTAACGCTTAAACGTGATTAGTTGGCCATGTTGATGTACTAAGCGGTCGTTGATTACGGATATGCATTTTATTAGGATGCTTCTATATGTGCGTGACCGAATTCACTCGTCAGTTCAGCACACAGCGGCTACAACAAGCAGTACAACGGCAGCAAAAATACCAAAGTCACTGCTTGTTTTTAAGGCGTGCACCTGAACGCCTATGTGAGACAGGTAGACATATTGTTAGCAAAGCAGATGAACTGGTGCTTTAGAAGCTATTTTTCAACTCCCTGAAATGGGGGTCCGAACCCCGGATGGGGCACCACTAGGGGTTCGAAATAGCCAGTTGATGAAAACATATAAGCCGGGAACGGCCATTCTAGTTTGCCTAGTATTCGTCGGTTACCTCATTTTGCATATAGATGACATTACCGACTGAGACAGAGAATCGCAGGTGTCAGTGGAAGATAGAAGGGATATCGACAAAGACAGGCAGACGTCAAATAACGGTTTCTGGCATGTCAGCCGTCATCAATCAGCCAGACCCATCTCCAGACTTGTATAACTTAGGAGTCAAACACGGACTCTTCGAGCCTTGACGGCTGTTCCTTCGCTTGCGATAGGGAGTGAAAACTATCTTAGAAAAGACATTCTACGATCAGGCTACGGAGCATGGACGTTCCTCTGCGCCTTCGAGTTCTGCCTGAAAGTCTTACATTAACCAGTTAATATGCGGGAAAATATATGTACCTCAACTAGTTGTAACATGCATTTTACATTGCAATTTGAATTCTTACGGCTCTAAATGTTGCATGCAATCTCAAGGGAAGCAGCTGTGGTGCCTACTTGCTCGAGGCTCTAAACTACTCTCAACATTTGTTTTTACATTTTCATCAGAGTATGCCAGCATCTTGGCCCACTAAATGTATGCAAATGACTAAATTTAAAAGGCAGCCGCTCAATCCTGAGGTCTACTGGTACTTGGTTTGAGATACAGCAAGCAAGTTATCAAGCACCAATTCAGTTTCGTACTTGCTGTTAGAACCTTATGCCTTTATCTACTTGTCTCTAAGGACTCCAGACCAGCACTATCTTGTTCCACCTGGCGAAATGGACGCTGTGCTTGGTGTCTATTTAGGTGGATTTAATATAGCGGAGCACTCATTATACCTCACTCTAATAAACACCTTTTCTTTGCGCCTCAGGTTCCCGAGACTGTCCTTCCCTGGTCAGGCTTCGAAATGACTCGTGAGGACGAAGTCAATCTGAATAAGCTGCGGCAACTTCGCGGTCATACGGAGCAACTAAGGCTTGAAAATGAAGCCCTCGGTAATTCACTTTTGGTCTTATACAATTGTGTTTTGTTTCTGGTTGGAAGGGACAAGGTTGATATGTGAGTTTTAGTTTCGGTTTAGTGGCCATCAGCGGGTACGCCTGGAAGTTTAACCTCCAGAATTTAGCCTCGTGGAGTATTTTCAGGTCAAATAAGAGATCCGAGGGAGTCCTCAAAGAGCTATGCTCGACCAGTCGTGATCTCACTGAAAACACAAAAATCCATGGTATTGTATCAGCTTATCAGAAGTCGCTGCCTCGGATTAGGGATTCGAATAGGACTATGTGTTTGAGAGGGTGGTGATGGAACTGAAACTAGGACATCCCTCTCAACGACACACCAGCGCACCTCTCAGTACAGTCTAGATCTACAAGCAATGTGTCGCGGCTTTGAAGACGACCAACTGACGGGCTAAGTTGGCACCTTGCAGAAATGAGAGCCAGAATGCAATGGCTCATGGTTAATGTGACCTTTATGACACTCATTCAAGTGAACTCTAAGTTGACGTTATAGATGCAATTCCGAATAGATCGTGCGTGACACGTGGAGACGGAACCCTATCATTGTAAACCACTGCGCTCCCTCCTACCTCCAGTGGCCTTCACAGTATCTTGCCACTGGAGCAAGGTGGATGAGGGAAGGGGGGCTGCGTTAGATGCAATGCAAGTCTGCCCACATATAAACTAATTAAAACGTAAGTCGCCGTCTCCCTATCCCTTCCGTGAAGCACGTGGTAGTCGACCCTCGAACTATGATTTATCGCAGTGACCAGCCTTTGAGGTTCAGAGGATAGAAACTGCTAAAAATTTGCGTAGCGTTAGTGAATGATATTCAGGGAATTTTTGCCGCCAAAAGGTTGCTATGCTTGCTGGTAGAGCTTTTGTGTCTAAAATGTGAATCCCCAAAGAAGCAATAGGGTGTCCCTACGATGCTTACCATTTGTTAAGGGTACGCATGTGAGAATCCTCTTTGGAGACAGCATTTCTTGCACGCTCATGTAGCGGAGACTGTTTGCATCATCATAGTCTCGAGGTTTGACCCTTACCTATACGCTACTGACCTTACAAGTAATCTCCTTGACTCTGATTCGAAATTTAAGTTAGTCAAACCCGAACTGTCATTATGGCTGCCTGATCATCGTGAGGTAATCGGAAGCCATAATTTCTGTGTGGTCGGCTAATTTCCTCGAATTTGACCCCATGACAACTAGAATCCTCCTCTAAGGTCGTGTTTTCTTTTCTCGATGTTTCACTTATACTATTAACAACTCAGTTATTCAAATTAAACATTTTACACTCCCATTTGGAAACGAGGTATTGCTGTCTACATAGTATACAAAGTGCTTTCTGTACTTTTTAGACAAATATTTTCCGGGGCAAACACTTAAAGAATAACCAAAAATGAACGGCAAACCTGCGAGTAACCATGTAAATGTTGGTGTTTTCGCGTACATGCCAGACGGCCGTTTATCAGAGCTAGGGGTGTAAAGAATATTTTACTTCTCATGGAATACTTTAAGTCAAAAATCAAGGGACGTGTATGCACCGGAAATGCAATTTTTTTATAGGAGAAATGCAAGTCAAAGTAGCCAGTTAGTGGTGCTTTCCCGTTGAAAATGTATCATTATAACATCATAAACTGGAGGGCAAACAAACAAATTGCTTTTCAAAACATCGGGATAGACCCGAGTTAGCAGATACTGCCCGTCTGTATAACTCGACTATGAAATTTTTACTTTGACTCCGGAGCATTTATTTGGAGTCATTTCTTGTAATCGCATAAAACGATATATAATTAGTTTTTTTGAGTAGACAGATTGAAGGCAAAAAATCGTCCGCTTTACTGCCTCCAAGCTTACAGCATCGGTGGCCCCGCAACTGAGTGAAACATAATTTTCTTGTTAGACGTAAACCGAAACTGGATTGACAGTTAAGATTGTAGAGGACACAGTTAAACTACCTACCGGACCCGGAACTTGTTTCCTCTAGCGTTGATTTGCATGGTATCTAAGATCTACGCAAATAGCACTTAGCTTGCTATCATTCAGAAACTTTGAGGCCTTATTTTGAACATAATATTAAAAGCAGTCGGTTATAAAATAAGGTACCGTCGTTCTATGTTTTGAATAGAAGACAAAATTTTAGTACCGAAACTGCCAAGAGATTTCTACAAAAATGGAAAAGGCTAAGGGAAGGGTGTTAACGTACATAAAATACTGGA